AAAAAAAAAAAAAAAAAAAAAAAAAATGTCCGTTAATCCTTTGTTGTGTTCTAATCAAATAATGCTGTTCTCCGTTAAACAGATGATGAAGCTCTTGCTGTGGCAGGTTTTATGCTCTTTAACACAGTCATGCTGTTGTCACCAAGGACATTTCTGCATCTGATATTAATTTAAATATCCAGTTATGAATGTCTGGAAGACAGCTTTATAGCTAATGAGGATTGTATTGGCTCAAGAAACTGCGATGGTGTGAACAATGAGGTGCCTGTTTGTTAACCCAAAGTGAATAATGAACAGGTGGCCTTATTGATCAGTGTTCCCGAGGCCTTTTGTTCTATGCTGATGTAAAGTTGAGAAATATTAGGTGCTAAAAATTTAGTGTCAAGTGGTGACAGTAGTTTTGGAAAATTCATTATGTTTTTCAGACAGTTCAAGTTGTTGAACTTCTGCTCAAATATAAATTTTTACAGCTGTGCAAAAAAAAAAAAAACCCCAAAAATTACACTCAGTTAGTTTCTTAGTTTATATTGCTAGTACTTCTAGTAATTCCTTGGTTATTTCCATTTACTGTGAATCTGATCATAGGTTCAAAAGTAAACTTACTTTTATTCATATAATGCACATCTGGAATTTGTAAGTTCAGACTCTTTTAACAAAAAATTGAGTAGCAGTAGAAACAAAGGCTTTTCAGTTCTGCTACATGCCTGCATATGTAATAGGGATTTCCTATTTATCAGTTATATGGATGGAATTTAAATGATGCAGGAGAGACCTATCCAGAATGGTAGATGAACTAAATAAAAAGAAATGCGACTTTTGAAAATGTATGAATTTTGGAGTCTACTAGCAGTTTTTGAATGTCAAATTCAGTGATTTTTGATTCCTGTCTTTTAGTTTTGCTAGTAGGTAGCCCTATTACTTGAAGTAGCAAAAATGAAGAAACAGTTTATACATTATTTTATTCAGAAGGTAATAAGGGAATGGGCTTCTAAGTACATTAGAAGTAGCAGTACAGTTTTAAATTTTTTGTTTTCATTAAGAAGCATGTTGATAACTAAAGAAACCAAACATCTGTCAAGTATTCCAGACTATAGTCAGTACTAAAACATGCAGTGTTCCAAAAATTGTTCCAAAAGTTATTTGACCCATAGATTAACCTTTCATACAGCTGAACCATAATATTACTAGTACCTGTGTTCTAGCTTCTGACACAGGGATTATAAAATATAGAAAGAAGAATTTTCTTACTTATTAACAAATTCAGGGGCATATTAGGTAACATTTTGTAATAGGTAAAGTTTGACTATAGAATTGTTACCATCCTCTAGGGCAGGGGTCCTCAAACTTTTTAAACAAGGGGCTAGTTCACTGTCCCTCAGACCATTGGAGAGCCAGACTGCGGGCCCCCAGGACAAGTCAGAACAGGCAGAATAGGCAACGGTGGCAAAAATACCTAGCAGGCCGAATAAATGTCCTAGGTGGGCTGCATGTAGTCTCCAGGCCGTAGTTTGAGGACACTTGCTCTAGGGACTCGGAGATCTCCTGCTGCCTTAATACTGAAAGGGGGGGGGGTCAGGATGTGACGCCGCTGAAGCAGGTTTTCACATATCTGGTTACACTGGACACCTGACAATGAGAAAACAAACTGTCAGTGGGATCAGTCCCTGATAGCCCTAGCCACCCAATCCGGATTGGCATGTGACTGTTAGGATGTACCACAGAAGGCTAACAGCTCTGAAGTGGGAATCAGAGGGCCTTTGTTCTAGATGGGGTCTGCCATCATCTCAGTGTTGCCTGATAGAACTTTCTACAGTGATGGAAAAGTTTTACCTACAGTAACCACTAGTCACATGTAGCTACTGGGCACTTGAAATGTGTCTGGTAGCATGGGGATCTGGATTTTAAGTTTTATTTAATATTAATTAGTTTAATTAATTAATTAATTAATTAAAATAACCACATGACTATTGACTACACATTAGGCAGTGCAGTGCGTAGCGTTACTCATTCATGGCTTTATTTTACTGAATTAAAAGTGGAACTTAAACTCGATAATACCTAAGCTCCTTCTAACTCTAAACATTTAATTTCTGTCTTATAGTTTAAAATTACTTATTCTCTCCTTTTCACTACAATTTCAACTTTGATTCCTTTATTGCAGATGATTTCAACTGAGTATGAAGAGAAAAATAAGCAGATTGAACTAATAAGTTCAACTTGCTGTGGTTTCTTCATCTTTCTAGAGTTATTTTATAATTCTGAGAAAAGTTACATCTTGGTATAAGTGAATGTTAACATGATGCAGTTTCAAAAAGCTTACCTTATTAAAAAAATGATAACTAGTGCTTTTAGAAATAATTTAAATTTATACCTCTTGAAAAATTTATTTGAACTTTAGGTGTATTTAAGTAGAGTTTTCCTAGCAATCCCATCTATTACAGATAATAAGTATTAACAATTTGAGGTATATCCTTCTAACATTTTTGTATGTATATACATTTGCTACAGTATGTGTATATAGTTATTTTTATTCACTGGGAATATGATTATACCCTCTGTCACCTTTTCTGTTAACATGGTGTTATAGTTACTCTTTCCCTCTGAGTCCTTGTTTTTAATGACTATATATTAGATCCTTGAATAGATACATCATAGTTTACTTAACCAAGGCCCACTGATCAACATTTAGGTTTTAATCTTATTTTGGTTTCTTTTGTCAGTAAACAAAATGGCAATGAGTTGTTCAAAAGTATATCTTTGCTCATTTATTGTTTTCTTAAGTTGGATTTTTAGAAATGGAATAGGTAAATTCCTAGAAATGTATTGAAGATTATGAGAATTTAAATGTTTGATATGTTTTGCCAAATTGCACTCCAGGCAAGTTATACTATTAAAGCTTTCCTAGAGAGAAAAATGCATGCCTGTCCATTTCTGTTTTACTGCTAGCACTGAGAATTGTCAGTTTTGAGAATTTTGGCCAAAATGAGAATCAGAAATGTGTCTTGTAACACAAATTATTTGAATCAGGTCCATGTGTACTGGAAATACTGATAACTTCATTTGTATGTTACTAATCCTTTAAAAAAGTTATATAAAACAGCAAGTACTATAATTTCCTTTATATGTAACATGGTTGAAAAATCTCTGTGACTAATATGATTTATATAACTAGAATGTACAAACTGATCTTTTTTAATTAAAACATAAAAATCTAAAGGCACCCTCTTATGGGAACAAAATTAAAGCTGAAAATTTAGGTTATACACAGGGTGCTAAAATAAATAAATATATAGTTTATATACGTACACACACATTTTAAGAAAGGGGAAAAACTATGTTAAAATAATGTATGCCAATGACAAAAGATGAGTACAAGTCATATTTGAGCACCTCTTGTAATTGCAGAAGTCAACTTGAGTATTACAAATTTAATATAGTTTTTTCCTTTCTTAAAATGTGTATGCATTTTAGCACCCTCCGTATGCATATATATGTATATATGATATATATTTGTGTGTGTGCATATGTATACGTGTGTATAGATATAACTTTAGCAATTTTTCCATTCTTTATTATATTAAAATTATTTGGGGGGAGACACCCAATAGGGCCAGTTAAGTAAGGGGAGGGGGCACCCTAAATTATCATTTGTTCTCCTTGTCATTCTAAATAGATAATTCCTACATGGACAAAGATGAGCATGGCTCATCCTCTGAAAGTGAAGATGAAGCACTGGGGAAATATCATGAGGCCTTATCCAGAACACACAATTCCAGACTACCCTTGGCAGATTCTAGACAAAAGAACTACGCTTGGGAAACAAGACAGAAGTACAGTCCTCTGTCTGCAGAGTATGATGGATACAGTAGTGAAGCATCCATAGATGAAGGTAAGACAGGTTATTTTATTTTTTTACATGCCACTCTATATTATTAGATTACTTGTGCCTGAAATTCTAGGCATCTGTGATTCTGTGATAAACAAGAGAGGACATAGAGTAGAGTCAAGTTTTGGGGAATGTAATTTATTTAAAGTCAAATCTTTGGTCTTAAACCAAAAATCAAAACCAATACCTAAACACCCACAAGTGAGCACACAAAATAATTTAAATAATGTGATCATTGTAGCTCTCATTTCATAGTGAACATACGCCTAACAAGCATGAAATGGAAGATGTGAATCAGCTGTTCTCTCGGGTGGAATTAGTTCCTATTCCTGTCATAGGAGCTGACAGAGTCTAAGCATCTCATGGTGTTGAACATGATTCCAGCATGTAAATGTATGCTGCTTCATTCAATATGGCCCCTAAGCATCAGCCAAATGCTTCACATGGCACATGGCAGAATAAATGGTAATCTATTCTGTGCAGGAGGAAAAACTGTCTGAGGTGGCTTTACTGAGAGCTGGCACTATATTATGCTGTGCTTTAAAATTTAAGGCATATTTAATGATTTCAGTGATTTCAAGGGTTATTTTGTCTCTAATTGATTTTGCCTTATGTGGTGAAACTGACTTTAGAACTCAACCTGTGTAGAAGATACAGGTCCATTCGTAGATGTTTTTGCATCTTTGTATATAACCTTGGTAAAAAAAGGTTTGCCGTCAAAGTATATTTCCAAATGAATAGAATATATGATTACTCTTTGTGTTACTTACTATCTTCATACCCCAAAGCAAAGAATAATATATCCTAGATATCATTTTTATTATTATACACAAATACAAACTGTCCTTGGTTTTGTAGTGATGATTGTGTTTTAAGGTGTGTTACTGTTGATATGTATTGCAACACTTGGAATTGTCAGGAGACCAGATCATGTATTTTAATATTTGTCTTCATGCTAACTAATGACTCATATAGCTCATTTTTATTTCTGCTGGTAGACAGGTATTATAATAATAATTGAATGCTGAGTTACTGCTGTGTAGGATGGTTACTATGAGATGCAAGGAAAGAAGTGAAAAATATTAGGTATGTACTATGCCCTCAAAAATATGGGTTTAGTACTAGGGGGAAACAAGATGTGCTTACAAAGATAACTAAATAATACAAAACTGTAAAACTAGGACTCGACTTATGTACACCTCTGGCACATGAATAAAAGAACAGGAAGAGAATGTCTTTTGAAATCTGATCTTTGTTGACATTCTAGCTCTATCTCTTAGCATATTATCTATGGAATATGTTCATGGTTTTTAGGTTTGTTTCATTGTCTCTAATGGGTGGTTTATACTGACCTTGAAAATTAATTGATGCATGGGTCTGTGGTATAGTTTTTGGCATAGCATCTGCTAGCTGATAGTAAGTGGTGCGTAAGTGCAGTTAAAGATGATGGTAGTGAAACAGTGATGGTAATGATAAGGAGTAGTCATGAGTTTGCCATCTGTGATCCCAAACACTACTCTTTCTGAATATACATTCAGGATTTTTCTCCCATTTACTCTTTTCCTTTCACCCTGTACCTCTCTGTTGTCTTGATAGCGCTTCTTTGTTGTTTTTTTATTCTAGGATGACTTTATGGCCAATGGGAAGAGCGGCGAGTTTGTGTCTGTATAACGTGCAAATGGAGATGACTGTGCTTGTTAAAATGGTCTTACTGGGTTTTAGAATGATGAGGGGACCAACAGATGATGTAAGATAATAATGGACTGAGAAAATGGCTTGTATATCACAGGTTATTTACTATTGAAAGATCAAAGGTAGAAATAGGTTCAGTGGAATAGAGAAAGAACAAGAGAATTTGATTAGAGAGGGGGATTGCAGACTCAAAATCATAGGGAAAAGCAATTTTCAGTGATTGATAATAAATTCTAAACATACTGACAGGCAAAGGTACAAAAGTACTTAGAAAATCCTGGGAAGTTTTAGGGAGGAGAGTGAAATGCCACCCATCGGAGAAGGTATGAGAGAGCTTCAAAGAGAATATGGTATTTCATTTCAACTTTTAAGAATGGGTAGAAAGTTTGTGAAAATACTAAGTAGAGGTATTTCATATAGTGGGAATCTCATAAAATTTAATGGGTAAAGTGGAAAAATATAGAGAATATTTCCAGAACAGAGAAGTCCTCTTGACTACAATATAAGTACATGCAGATACAAATATGGAAATAGAAGATAAAATTGGAAAGAAAGGTGAGGTCTAAAGGCTGGAGTGCCTCTTGGCCAGGAAGATTGTGTGTAATTTGTTAGCCAGTGAGAACTCACTAAGGACTTTTCACCAAGGAACCGTGATCTGGGATGTAATTCAGAAAGAATTATTTAGCAGCAAGAAGACTGCAGGAAAAAACATGAACTACAGAGATCTTTGTGGAAATTTGTCTATGTGGAAAATGATAAAAATCTGAATTAGAAGCAACGGGATTATAGAAAGATAGAAGAGATACTATGGGGACAGAATTTGGAACAGTAGGAAACAGATAAGATGACTGTTGTTTCCATCGTGTATGACTAGGAGAATGATGAGGTCATTACTAATATAAACACAAAACGTGGAGAGGGATATGTTTTTTGTTGGAAGTGGGGAATGAGTATAAAATATAGTAAGAGATTTCATTCTGTAATGAGGCAGGATATTTTAGCTGTTGGAATAGGCTATCAAGCTTATAATCAGGAACATGGTTGGGGGAGAAATTTTCAGGTCATATATGCTCAAAGAATAGAAACTGGGGAATGGATTAGTTGATGAAGGAAAATGTGTGAAGATCAGAAGGTCATTTCCACTAACAGGAGAATTAAAGGTGTCATGTAAATAGAAGAAACAGTAAAAGAGATAAAGAAAAGAATCAGGAGAATGTTATATGTATTTTACCAGGCATAGAAGAAGAGTTTTAAGGAGGACAGATAGGTTGGAGAGGATGAGAATTGAAACAGGCACCTTTGTTTCGGAGAACACTGATTTTCAGCTGAAGTTTTACTACAGTAGAGTAATGAGGAAATAAGTCAGATTGAATGTTGTTAAGGAGAGAATAAGTGGTAAGAAAGTGCACATTTGCAGCCTACGCTTTCTTATTCACTTTCTCCTTACCAACTTTGAGAATCAAGAAAGAGAGGTAGTTGAAGCGTTTTTGTAACCACTGTACACCTCTGCCTCCCACCCACACTCCTCTCATATATACTTGGGAAGGAGGGGAATTTGCTTCTAATATACATGTGCGTCTCTACCACGTGGTTGCCCCTCAGCACAGCTGCCTTTGGAGAAACATGCTCACTGCATGACTGCTCACCCAAGAGGACTACTGGGTATGGTTCTCTGGGTAGGATTTGGATCATTTTCCTAAGGCGCAAGTAAAGGGATGGCAGAGTAGGCTACACTGCTTACTGCTCTGGCCTTTTACTCTGCATGTTACCGTCCCAGTTTATAAAGATTAGACTTGACTGATGAAGGTTGAGATAAATAAAAGGTATTACAAAGTAGAAGGAAAAAT